AAAAACAGTAGAGATGAAGGAGGATACCTCAAAATATTAAATGTCTTAACTTGCCAAGATGACTTAATAATTGTAAATAAGAAAAATAACATTCTAAAATTTATCCCCCCAATATAACCTCAAAATCCAAAATGAGCAAAAGTAAATAAATAATAGTAAATAAAATAAATAGTAAGAAATTTTAATATGACATCTCTCAGAAAATAATAGAACAAAAAATCAGTACGAAAGTAGAGAATATAAACAGCATAGCAAACTGCATGGTACTGGCATAAAACCAGACACAGAGACCAATGGTACAGAATCGAAGACACAGAGACAAACCCACACAAATACAGTTATCCGATCCTTAACAAAGGTGCCCAAAACACTTATTGGAGAAAAGACAAATGTAACAAATGGTTACAAATGGTTCTGGAAAAACTGGTTATCCATATGTAGAAGAATGAAACTAGACTCTTATTTCTAACCATGCACAAAAATCCATTCAAAATGAATCAAAACCTAGGAATTAGACCAGAAATTATGCAAAGTGTAGAAGAAAATATAGGGTCAACAGTCTAGCATACAGGCATAGACAATGACTTTCTCAGTAGGACCTCTAAAGCTCAGGGAAATAATGCAAAGAGCTAATAAATGGGATGGCATCAAATCAAAAAACTTATGCCCAGCAAAGAAAACAATTAAGAATGTGAAAAGAGGCCAGGTGTGGTGAAGCATGCCTATAATCCCAGGGGCTTGGGAGGATGAGGCAGGAGGATTGCAAGTTTGAATCCAGTCTCAGTAACTAAATGAGGCCCTAAGCAATTTAGTGAAATCCTGTGTCAAAATTTAAAAATAAATAAATAAATAAATAAATAAATAAAAAAGAATGTGATGAGAGAACCTACAGAATGGGAGAAACATAAATAAACCAACTAATAAATGGGCAAATGAATTAAACTGACCAAATTGAACTCTACAAAACAATAAATCAAACAACTGCAGAAACTCCTTTTTAGCATATGCAAAATATAAAAAGTTACCATAGCCAGGCCATAAAGCAACTTTCAACAAATTTTAAGGAACAGACCAAAATCATTTAGAGTGTATTTTGTAATAAAAGGTAATTACATGTATTTTGTAATAAAAGGTAATTACATTTTACATTAAAAAAAGAACAAAACAAAAAATGACAGCTGGAACAATCTCCATCATAATGGTAACAATAAAATATTTTGAACAAATAATAATGAAATATATTAAAACTTGAAGGACAATATTCATACTGGAGAATTAAGAATTCCTGTAAAAAATTAGAAAAAAATAGCAAATAAACTAAAGAAAGTAGAGAGATAGGAAAGATAAGAATAGAAATCAACAAAATAGAATACAAGTGGAAAAGCTTAAAAATTAATAAATTCTACCAAATACAATAAAGAAAAAAAAAGAGAAAGCAAAGATAGATATCCAATGTTAGTAATAAGGAAGAGAGAAGCACAATAAGTACTTCAGATATTAGAGTTAAAGGGAAAATACAAATAATTTTTGGCTAAAACCTTTAAAAATTTAGATGTAGATAAATTCTTAGACAATACCACTTGTTAAAATTGACAGTAGAAAACTAAGAATGGAGAATAGTCCTGTAGCTATTAAAAACATTGAGTTAAAACTTTCCCCAGATAAAATTACAAAGCCAGATGACTTTACAAACACACTTGATCAACTGTTAAGGAAGGAATACTAACATCCTTAAATAGAATTTTCAAGAAAATAAAAGAGGGAAACTTCCCCATTTCTCAGGAGGCCACTATATTCTATATGAACATTTCATAAGAATGTTATAAGAAAGGAAAACAACAGGCCTGGAAATAGCTCCAATCTTTATCTGTCATAGAATAAATAAATATATTGTGGTATTCATATAGTATGAAAGGAAAAAAAAGGAGTATCACTACTTGCAAAAGCATGTGAAATATYGAAAATACGGTGGTAAGGGAACCACATCAAACATAAAGGATCAGGAGTAGGATTACATTTGTTCAAAGGTCAAAACTGTAAAACCAAATTTATTGTGTTTAGCGAAGAATAACTTAAACCATAAATGAAAAGAAGGGTTTGAATACTTTGGAAGTCAGGCTTGGCAGGAGGGGCAAGTGAGTAAGGCAATCTGGAGAGCTGATGATGATCAGCTGATGATGACCTTGTGCGAAGTTGTCCTGGGTTTTCCTTTGTGAACTTCTCTGTATATGGGCCATCTTTCCTAAAGAGAGGGAGAGAAGAAAGACACATTTTCCTTGAGGATTAGGATGGCTGTGGTTCCTGAGGAGGGGCAGGTCAAGGAGATGGAAGGGGTAGAAAAGATCCCCCATGGTACAAGGGCCAAGAGACAAATTTGCTTCCTCTGCAGTTTTATAGGCTCACGTCCAAAGGGGCAACAGCTACCCAGGGGAGTGGTACTGGTCTTTGGTACCAGCATATCTGCTTTATTATTCCAGAAAGCTTTGCAGTTATGGGGAGAAAAATCCACAATAATCTCTCATTAACTTTCATTTTATAGAAAGATGCCTGTTTAGGTCTGAAAACATTCTGTACCTTTTATACTGCCTAGTCCTTTATTTAGACTCATTTCATGTAAACCTCTCAGATATGAAAACTAGTTCCTTTGTTGTTGCTTAAAAAAATGTGAATGAGCTAATTCTCATAATTCTTGTTACAGCTCCTTAAGGTATTATTGAGAGTAAATTCAATATTTAATGCTGATCAACAATGCTCAGAGACCTGTTCTTTTCCGGATTTTTACTAACTAGCAGAATGTGTAGAGTGGAGACACAATTGATATATCATTGTCACCAGTGAATACTCCGCCTTGAGGGTAAGAAACTATGCTGGAAGTGGAGCGGGATACACTATTAGGAGATCGTGTTTCCAGTACTTTCAAATATGTATGTGATTTTTACATATTCTTTTCTCCAACAACAGTAATGAACAAACAAACAAAAATAGAGCCTGGTGAGTGTGTGTGTGTATGTGTGTGTGTGTGTGTGTGTGTGTGTGAGAGAGAGAGAGAGAGAGAGAGAGAGAGAGAGAGAGAGAATGAACTTGTGATGGGGAGGGAACAAACTCTGGCCATTGATTAACTGCTGTTACAATACTCAAAACCTATCATTCTTAGACGAAATGGCCAAACAAGACTTTAGGTTAAAAGCAAGATAATGATAATGAATAAAGTTGGTTGCTTTCTCTGTTTCTTTAGTTCAGATTATCTGCAAATACACACTTCATTTTGATTGTGCTGGAAGAACCTCAATATATCTGAAGGGTTTTACATAAACTCATTTAAAATCCATACATAAAATCCACACTACAATTCAGAGAATTGTATATGAGGAAGGGTTCTGCCTGACACACATCACCAATAAGTGTTAGCTATCACCATGATAAAGTATTCATTTGATCCTTCAGCAGAGTCACCACTTGGTCTTGTTGGCCTTTCCATAAAGCATCCCAGAGAACACAACCTCCATGGACCTAGGTACCTCCTGCCTTTTTGTAGGCCTTAATTTTGATATTAGGAAAATGAAGACCTTGGATTCTTTAAATTATTTGACTGGAAGGTTTTGTCTTCATGAAGTACCATAGGTTTCCTCCATGAAGTTCAGGCTCATTGAGTGTCACCAGTGGTTGGGTTGGTGCCATGGACAGGGAGCATGCATCAGGCTAGGGAAAGGGGCTCTGGCTTCTTCAGGAGACAGTGTTTACTTTTCTCTGGGCAGAGTTTGTGGAAGTTAAGAAAACCTGGTGAAACAGATGCCAGGGACAGATGTTACCTAATTTGGTCAAAGAACAAAGTATGTAAAACATTTGGAAATCCTCAAGAGTGCATGGGGATGGGGACACCTGCATGAAGGGCTCTGCATCTCACAGGGTGAGCACAATGTATTCACTATTTCAATCAGTTTGGGTTTTGGCGAAGCAAGTTTCTGGATTGGAATCTTGACTGCACCACTTATTAGGTACTCCCAGGACATGATATGCTTGCACAAGGTGTTTGAACCTCATATTGCTTATGTGTAAAATGAGGTAAACATCTACGTAATGAACAATAAATGTCCTGGGATGGAATAGGACAAGGCAGAATGAGTTTCATTAAATAAAAGCTGCTATCATTAAAAGAAAATTAAAGCCAGGCACAGTGACTTTGAATCGAAAGTTCCAGGCCAGCCTCAACACTTAGTGAGATYCTCAGCAACTTAGCCAACCCTGTCCCAAAATAAAATAAATACACAAAGAAATAAAAAGGACTGAGGATGTAGCTCTGTGGTAAAGCCCCCTTCCCCGCCGTTTGATTCTTAGTTCCCCAAAATAAAAATGAATAAATAAAAAGAAAATTAATAATGTCATTCCAGACATATTTACTCCTGCTTTGCTGAGAATTCTCAAACCTCAGTAGTTTCTTTTAATGATAGCACCCTTGATCCCTCACTGCCCCTCCCCACCCTGCCCCCACCCTGGGCGGTGGAGTGCTGGAAAGAAACGGTAGAGAACTGGGCAAACCAGGTCCATGCCCCCTCCTGGCATGGTGGGGCCTGTCATGGCGGCCCATCACCTAAGCTGAGCAAAAAGAATGGAAGGGTCGAAGGGTCAGCGCAGCCCAGAYCTCTGCCCCGCCGGCGGTCGCCAGGTCTAGGTTAGTGCCAGCAACAGCTCAGCTCTGTCCAGGTCTCCCAGCGGCGCTGGGCCCACTCTGACCCCGGGCTCAGCCTTAGCTCAGGCGCCCACCTGGGGAGGCGGCGGTCAGGGCCTCGGGACTAGTAGCCAAGGCCCCGTAGCCGGCTGGGAGCGCCACCGAGCGCACCCGGCCAAGCTCCGGGCGATCCCGACACTCGCGTGCCCTCCCCGCCCCCTCCGCGCCTTGCTTCTCCTCGCTTCGCCCCGCCGCCCGCGGCGGCCCCCACCCACCGGCCGCTCCTCCCCTCTCCCCACCCTCCTCCTCCGCCCCCTCCCCTCCCCCGCCGCCTCGCACACAGCTCGGCCGAGCGTCTCAACCTCTGGGGCCGCGAGCGCAGGCGGCGAGGCCACCGCACCTGCAGAACGCTCGAGCTGCGGAGCCGGCACCTCGCCTCTCACCGCCCGATCCCCTTTCCCCACTCGCTGGGTTGCCCATGACGCCCACGACTCCCTGTTGGCGACAATGACCACTTCCCTGCAAGATGGGCAGAACGCCGCGGGCAGGGCGGCTGCCCGGGACTCGCCGCTGGCCGCCCAGGTGTGTGGCGCTACCCAGGGGAAGGGCGACGCCCACGACCTGGCGCCAGCCCCCTGGCTCCACGCGCGAGCGCTCCTGCCCCCTCCGGACGCGACCCGCGGTTGTGTTGTGGACAGGTAGGCAGCCCTCCGAGGGCGCGGGGGAGTGTCCTGGGTTGGCAGCCGGCAAGGGGGTGAAGAGGCGGTTCTAGGGGTGAGCCATGTGCCCAGAGCTGGGCCAAGTTTGTGAAAGTCTCTGAAGACAATTCCCTTTGAGCTTGCTTCTACCGGATCAGCAGGACATTGCGATCTTGCAGCGCCTTATTATAAATAGCATCACCGTTTCATTGAGAGCTCTCCGTGTTTCTCGCCTCTGTCCATTGGTGTGAACTAGGAGGCCAAACTCCAGAATGTCCACCCTCTGCTGCTGCTTAGTGACCCAACATTGTCTTCAAAATATACAGTCCTTTTAATTTTATATATTTTTAAAAATCAAAGCATTAATGAGTTCACCTCCCACATAGAATCTTACAGCGACCCATGAGAGGCATAGCATGGATTAACATTTGAGCAGTCTTTACTGTTCAGCAGGAAAGAATAGAGGCTTTAAAAGGTTTCTCAATCTCCATTGCATCCAGCACAAAGTGCCTTTAGAGTTTGCACATACTTTTGGAAGGAAAAAAAAAAAAAAGACTACAACGGCATGAAAATCTATGAATCTTTATTTTCATACATTTAAATGGTACTTTTTTCCCCCTTCAGGTTTTCAAAGTGCTCAGACTTCAGTGAAGTTAAAATTACTCTCCAATGGACTTGTTATACTAACAAGTTCTATTAACTTATCCCTTTAAAAGCACTGCCTTTCTGTTTAGTATCTATAAGCATTTGAAAAATCAACAGACTGTGTGTGGGCAACATTGTGAATGAAATTTTGAAGAGACATGAACTGCAGCTATAATTAATAAATCATAACTTCCAAAAGTGACTGGTAAAATATCAAAGAGATGAATTCACTAAATGTATTTTATATGCGTTGTCAATTTTATGTATGCTTAACAATGTCTAACTCCTTATGATAATTTTGCACTAATATTTATATAGTTCATAATGTTGCTTCAGGAAGATTATTAAAGTGCAGGAAATGGAGTTTCCATGTCTTGTGATTTTTTTAAAGGCAAAAAAAAGTAGGACTATTGTAGATTTATTTGTATCAATTAACACTTTATTTTGATATCCAGAAAATATGTCACAGACCTTCCCATTACACTTGATATATTATTAGCATTGTCATAGAGTGGTACATGTTGGCCTTAACAACACTTTTTAATCCTGACAGCAATTATATTTTACATTCTGCTTTATGTAAATTACATCCTATGTTCTCTCGGTGTAGGAGAAAAAAGAAAGATCTTGATGTTCTGGAAATGCCATCTATTCCAAACCCTTTTCCTGAGCTGTGCTGTTCTCCATTTACATCTGTGTTGTCATCGGGCCTGTTATCCAAAGCGAATTCAAGGAAAAAACAGGTATGCATTTCTAAATTATCAAATTCAAGTATTTTAGGAGTTCTGAATCAATACAGTTTTAAGATTTTCAGTATTATACAATATTAAAGAATTAGTGTGGCCTAAGCTAAATAACTCTATTGACTGACATAGTCCTTTGGGCTTGCTTTCCTCTTAGGGCCTTAGTTTTCTCAGCTGTATAATGGGAGTGTTAAAAGGTTCCTTCACAGAGTCTTGAGATAGGTTAAAAGAGATAATATATATGAAGTGCAGTGTCTAAAAGCTGATTTCATTCACTGGAAATGAAGGAGAGTTACGAGTGATAATAGATCATTGATTTTAAGTCAGGAATTGGAAGGGGGTGGGAAACTATAGTGAAAAGGGGATTGGCTGATCTCTTATAATGCTTTCTTTCATCTTCATTTTAAACCCCCACCTTGACAACCTTATTATTTACTAAAGGAAAGTGATGTAATGAATCTGGCAAAAGGTAATTTGAATTTAGGATTCAGTGTGTCCTCTTTCTTTCAGTGAATTCCAGAGTTTGAAGGCTCTGGCTGCAGAGTGCATATGACTTGTAAGTGATGATTAGAAGATAGAATCTATTTTTATGATTTTCTTTCTTTTCAAATTTCTCATGAGACAGACTCATGCAAATTAGATAATAATGACCAAGCAACAAGAGATGTTAATCATGATTATATATTTTGAGAGAAAAAAAAATCAGTGCCTTTGTAATAATTCATCTCTTGTCAAATACTGCCTCCAAGTTTTGAACCAGCAAAACAAAGAGGATGTACCCTGAGTGTGGATAGTCACGACTAGAGGGGGATTTAGGGAACAGGTTTTTGTAGGTCAGGTTTACCAAAGTGGAAAATGAGAAAAAGATGCTATGCTGTTGTTTACTCCAGTAGGTTTCTTCTGTCCTGTTGGAGAAAGATCGCTGCATGTGCACGTACGAGCACAGGGTCCTGGCTTGACTTCTAGTGACTGATCCTAGAAGGGTATTCCACCTTACAGGATCCCTTCTTGCCAGTCTCTCCCTAGGCTCAAAGGCTGGGTTTCTGTGAAGAGTGTTCCCATGTTGCAGAAAAGAAAGGTTCCTTTTCTTTCTTTGATATTTCCTTTTGCCCCCACCTAGACTTTGCATTTAGAACTTGTCCCTTTTGTTTTTATTCTTTTGTACATGCTCAGTTCTTTGGAATGAGGGAGGTTTTGAGAACACATGAGTCTATCAGTAATTTCCCAAGCTCAGTATTGTTGTGACACACATATCTTTTTTACAAGATGGTGTTCCTGGTCCAGTTATCTCTAGCTTTTAGTTGGGATGATGTAAGGGATTGTATGTAATTGTATTATTCTATCAAATATCACTTATGATGGAAATCATTTAGGAGAAGATGACTTTTCTTTATATTGTTTTTGATTTTTTTAACCATCCCAGTCATTTTAAAAATTCTTTTCTCCTAATAGGGAAAGTGGAGGATTGTTACTTGCTATTTACAAATAAGTGACCAGAAAGTGTAAGAGAACCCAGACTAGAAATATTAAATTTAATTTCGTCTTTCAAAACCAAAGTCAAAAAATCATTTTACAGAACAGACTGACTTTTTTTTCTTCATTAAAAAAAAAACAATATGACTATAAGTGGTAAAGTACATTGAAGCTACAAATAGGATATGCTTTATCTCTTTTTGCAAATAAAATGCCCCAAGGAATACAATATTGTAGACTTTCAGTATTATTATTTTAAAATGAGAGCTAGAATGACAGAATCTATATTCTTTATTCTTTCTCCCTCTTTTTATAGTGCTGGTCACATATAATCCTCAACCTATATCTTTATGTTTACCAATAATGCAGATTTAGAGTGTACCTTCCTTTATATACATGCATGAGAAAAGTTATTTTTAAACTCTATTTTTTTTTCTAATTTCTGATTGAAATTTGCTAGGAAATCATCCTTTAGTAATGAACTCTAAACACCTATTACTTGAAGAAAAGTAAGGAGTAAGAGATCTTTAGCCCTCTTGTCTCAAGCTTTTCAGTCCCTGGGTCATTTTAATGCTCGGACACAGTTTGTGCAGTAAGTTTAGTTAATTACTTTCTGGGACTATATAGTATAACTGATTCAGAATAAAGTCTCTGAACATGTGAAAGATTAAGCTTTGTGAAACAGGGTATTCTGGAATATTTGAGTTGGGAGGGAGTTTCAAGCTCATTTAGCCTAATGCCCTTCTTTTACAGATGTGTAAAATTGAGTCTAAGAAGTGCTAGGTACCTAATAGTGGCATAATTTCAACCTGAAATCTGCATTTCTTGAGGATTTTACTGAAATATTTTAAGAGAACAAAATTTGGGCCATAAGAGTTTTATAAGCAATAAACATACATCAGCATTATTAGCTACAACTCTACTTATAATACAAGAATACGAGGAATAACACATGCTATTTGTTAATATTTGTCTAAGGACCTGGAATTTCTCTATCCCCCCCCCCCCCACTTCTTGAAATGCAACTCTTTGTGTTTTTTTTTCTTTAGCTTTCCCATCCCTAAGATTGATGTGAAAAATCTATCAAGTTCTTGAACATATCAAGAAATACTTATGAGTGTCATTAATAACTGGCTTTTATGTATAGTTTATGATCCACTGGATATTATATTTTGAGAACAGTAGGAAGTGCCACCTACCTTTTAAGATTGAAAAATGAACATGCAAAACTGGAATTGGTTTGCCCATCCTTCTGCAGTTGAAATGAGGGAGATCAAAAAGAGTATCATGTCTCTGTGTGCTCTGCTTCTCACACACTGTTTCTGGACTACTTTGTAGTAAGTTAAGACTTTTTTGTATATTCTGGAAAAATAATGTCTTCCAAATAATTAAGGAATTAGTTTTCCATGTGCTCTGACTTTAATTTATTTCCTTTTGTCTGTCAGGGACTTTCAAAAGATAAATGAATCTCTGTCCCCAATTTAAAAGGCCTGTTRTGTCATTTCTTTGTGATGTCAGTAATTATTCTGGTTTGTCTGTGCTGAGCCTGTATGTGTGCTCTAAAAGGAATCTTGGGTGACTGCTACATTAATTGAGTTTTCATATACTCCTTTTTTTCTAATATGCACAGAAATAGAAACAAAATCTGCCACATTCTCAGTTTTGCAGACTCAGCGATTATCAAGATTTTGCACCATTTATTTTATATATTCCTTTTGTAAGTTTTCATTGTCTTTGTTGAAATGTTTTAGAGGAAATCATGGATATCTTGTCATTGGAACTCTACCTAGTTTTATAAGCATCTTTGAAAAAAATGAATTAAAAAAAATAAGACCCAAATGCCATTATTCCCTAACAAAAATAACAACAATGCCGTGGTACCATCTAAAACCATCCATAATCAAATTTTCTCAGTTGGAATGGCACATGAAATCCTCAAATTACAAACTGGCTATGTTTCAAAAGTCTGCAAATTAGTTCTTTGGGAGTTTAAATTCATTTTCAGATGGAAACAACAACATAAATTGTATTTTGGCCCTCCAAGCTGTTTTACAAAATCCCATTTAATGTGAAATGAAACACAAATATATATGCAGAGAGAATAACAAAAACAATACTTGTTCTTAATAGGGTTTCAAACAAATCTATCTTTCTAAGAGCAATTTGCTACTTTTGAATACAGATGTTTGGTGAATATAATTATTTTGTTGAAGTTATAAGTGTACATATCTTTGTAGTAATGTTAAAGTAGGCTTTACAGCAATGCTTCTCAAAGTGGGGTTACTAAACCATGATCTTTGTTTTCAGAATACTTGAATCTCTTGCAGAACTCACTGAGTAGTAATGTCCTGGGAAAGGACAGAAGGTTTTGTCTTATGTTTTTCTTTTTGACATATGTACAGAATCAATTAGTGCTGCTCTTAATCTCTACCACTTTTAGACTCTGACCTTTCAAAACTGTGGACAAATCTATTTAGATGAGAAAAACTGGGAATATTGCAAATGGACTTTTGTAGCTATTCTAGCCATGTATTGATTGATTGGAGGAAACAGAGCCTTAARTGAACTAGCCTGAGAGGTTATATTTTAGTACCTAAAGGTCAATAGTTCAATGGTCTCATAAGAGATTAGAACTGAGAATTAGAAAGTCAGCAATCATGAAAACCACTTTCTCTGTTCTCTTTTATTCTCCAACAGGCATACCTCGTAGTCTTTGCTTCTTGCAGATCCGTTTCTGATATTTCTATGTAGTTTTGCTTGCCAGTGGACACCCCTAAGTTGTAACATTAGTGGATCAGTACTTCATTACTGACTGGAGTCTGTATCTGGAGAGAGTTATTAGCTCAGTGTGTCCCACTCTTACCAGTTGTGGCCAAGGGGACAGCAGGGATGTGGACCAGTGCTTRCTCAGCAAGGGTGTGGGAGGTTCCATGAGGAGGTATAGGTTCAGTAGGCATGGTATTTGGAGGCAGGGAAGAGACAGTGGACAGCTAGTGTCCTGGGAGAAAAAAATCTCAAACAAAAATAAGAGGGCACACAAACTAATTCTTTTCATACATGTGTGATATAGGATGACACATGAATTTGTCTGTCTGACTTAGCCCATCAGTTTCATGGTATCCAGTTTATTTGCCTCAATTTATTTAATATATGACACATATTTACTAGACAATGTTTTTAGTTGATGTCACTCTTCAAGGATGTCCTGAATGTACATCTTAGTGAGGTCCCTTAGCCATTGATGACAGAAGGTACCCACTCAGTATCCTCTCAACCTCTTGCTAGTTGTCTTCATTTGTAGTAGAAGACAGCTGCCTCTTCCTATTTCAAAACTTAAATCCTCTAGCAGAGCTTCCATTTTTCAAGCTTTTACTTTTGATTCTCAGGGTACATTTGCAGTCCAACCTTTATCTTCAATATGGGCTTATTTTTTCACTTTTTGAAAACCTAGTTTCTGCTTTGTTTTTCCCTGGGGACATATATAATGTTCTATCAAGAAGGGGAAAATGGAGTCATCCATGGATTAA